TCTCTCTCTCTCTCTCTCTCTATTTCAGAAGAGTATCTGTTTTGATCTAGTAAGATGTTTCCCAGATGAATGAACTCTAACCCCTGACCCCTGACCCCCCTGACTTGTGTGTGATTTTCAGTGGATCATCTCAGAGCTAGCTTGCTACACCTACTCCATGGTGGTGGTTCCCCTCTATGACACACTGGGCCCAGACGCCATACGGTTCATCATCAACACCGGTAAGAACACACACAGGCCTTCTCACACGAATGCTAACCGGCGGCCATGCTAACACACACACACACACACACACACCACTAATCAATCGTGATAGCGTCCTCCAGCCTCGCTAAGCTTTTGTTTTAAATGTACGACAATCTTCTCCTGTTTGAAGGAATAAAGCGTGACGCCTGCAGCTGATTAACTTTATTTAACAGTTTTGACTCACTGCAGATACAGTTTGTGTCTGGATTTTAAAACTGCGGCAACTCGTATCAGTGAGACTGACACACAGTGTGTTCCGTCCTGGACAAAAGCCAATTCCAACACTGAAAAAAACACGTCTTTATTAGAAAGAATACATACATTTGTAGGCAGATGTATTTGTATTTGATCCAAATGTTGTATAATCCTGCAAAACCCAATAAAAAACTCTGATGTGATGACTTATACAGGCCTAGTTTTCTACCGAACTGACCGCATAACATTCAGCTCCACGTCCGTGTCTTTTTGTTCCTTTTCGTTTCTTATTCTGCCGACATTCACACAAGGGTGCATGTGCTTTTGTGTGCTTGTGTCATTTCAGCCGACATCTCCACGGTCATCTGTGACAAAGTGGACAAAGCTCAGGTGCTTCTGGATAACGTGGAGCGGAAGGAGACGACCGGCCTGCGAAGAATCATCCTGATGGACGACTTTGACTCCGACCTCGTTGTGCGCGGCAAGAGCTGCGGCATCCACGTGCAGGCCATGCAGGAAGTCGAGGTACGACAGGGAGGGAGTGTTGTTTTATGTGTCGATACATGTAATCATCAAGTTGATAAGCTCCAGAGGACGCTGTATGTCACCTGGAAGCTCTGTCAATCTGAACAATAACACTGTTGTGTGTGGAAAATTCTTTTAATAATAATTCTACAGCAGGAGATCAGGAACAACTTGTTGAGATATAGTCATCAAAATGCCGCCGTGCAAGATTATATATAATGCAGATCTAAATAAGAATTTAAAGGATAAGGATGGTTGTTGGTTGATAAGATGTAAAAAAAAAAAAAGGATTTACAGAAATATTGTTTCAATATAGAAAAAGTCAAATTATTTCCCTCAAACATCACATTTTTAGCACAAGTTGTTTAAATGTGGGGACTTTGGCAGTGATTGTGGAATAGAGGGCTGCAGGGATGATGTATTTTTGTTGGCCAACCAGGAAGTTGGCGTCACACTGGTTCCCTCCAAACAAAAACTACAGGATTCTTCCTTTTCAGTTGTGGATTATTGCAGAAAATAAACTCTGCGGCAAACAAACGTTTATGAAACTTGCTTATGTTTTTTTCAGCAAGATAATCTTCACAAATGAAGAACACTTTATGATTGTTGAAGAGTGATGACAATCAGCAGAAGTAAAAAGCTAACGTTAAGCTATAAAGGAACTACACCGCGGTCACGTGACTTCACGTCTCCACCACTAAGCTGAAGGAGGACAAATGTTCTAGTGAGGACGTTTAGTCGTCTCATTTAGCTACTCGTTAGTAACTTCCTTTTTAAGACACGTAAAAGCTTCTAAATTCACTACAGAGGTTTTGACTATTTCATATCGCAGAACAAAACACTTAAATCTCTTCAGCTTGTGATAAACACAGACCTGATTTCAGACATCTATCCAAAAACACATTAAAAAACCACATTGACTTTGAGAGGAGGGAACTAACTCATTCCCTGGTTTTAGTACTCATTCCTGCAGCTCTCTATTACATAGAATAAAAAAACTACAGTGCCAATGTGTTAATGTTAATGAAGGAGTGTGTGAAACAGTGCGGCAGTTTGATGTGTTCTACATTAGAGATCTATGGCACAGAGGAGGAGGATACATCAGGCCAACATGGTTGACTTTGTTTGTTGACAACAAACAATGAAAACAAAAATATGGAGTATATATCACCTTGTATGAACTTTGAAAATAATGGATTGGAAGTTGTCTCTACAGCTGAACATCGAGTCAAAACAAAGTGATGTTTAGATTTGCTCAGCACACAATCAAAGAAACCAAGTTGTTTGTCATGTTCGGTGAGATCTTAATCTAATCCTCTCCAGCTCTACACACACAGACAACATGATGAAGAACAACACAAGCGACTGTGTTGTTTTATCAGAGAGATGGCTAGATATCTCCAAAACTAGGCAACTCACACCAAAGTAATCTACATTGAATATCACTACAGGTGAAATATGTATATCAAATGTGTATTTTTGATTTTGGGGTGAACTGTCCCTTTAAGATAGATGCAGATGTCCTTTGTGTTCACATCATAAAGACAAAGAGCGACAGAAAGGAGAAAAACACTTTACATGCTTTAAATAAACAAGGTTTTTATAGCTCAGTGGGGACATTCCATTGAGTTGATTCACAGGAATGTGGCTGGCAGTCACGAAGTACATAACTGTCATATTTCAAGAGTCTGAACTGTGCAATTGTGATAAACAGATGCCCGGCTCATCTGGTTTACCAGGTGGCTTAAAAAGAAGTGAGGAGACTTATTGTAAATGGTCACGAACACTGACTTACAATCACAAAGTCAAAGCCTTCACAAATACAGGCGGGTTATGTAGATGTTCTCTTCACAACCACAAATATTCGGTCTGGCTTTAATTTAGAAAATTTGATGACATGACTCAGCAAATACTCATTATTCAAGGCGTCATGGAAAATAACACAAAGGTTGTGTCTGATAATGTCATTTTGATGTCACTTGTGCATAAAAGTCCACTAGTAATAATTGTTTTCATGTTGTTTTTAATCTTTCAGGCTCTGGGCAGAGAGCACCACAGAAGACCGACAGTAAGTACTGATTGAAGAGTGCACTATAAATGGGGAGCGAAGCACTGTGTAACATTAGACTTAAATACCTCAAGAACTATGAGATGGATTATCACGACATTTTGTACGGACAGTCATGTTCCTCTACTCTGTGTCTACTGCTCATTAGGAATCGTTACCCTGCACACACACACCAAACTAAGATTGTGAACTTGCTTAACACTCTACCTTTAAAACATCAGCATGCTAGCATTGTTATTGTGAGCATGTTAGCATGCTTACATTAGCGTTTCGCACAAAGCACCACTAAGTGTAGCTTCACGGAGCTGTTAGCATGCCAGTAGACTCTTGTTTTGAATGTAAATAATGACAAGTTACTTATTTTTTGGTCTTAACATGAACTTGACATGTAAATGACCCTCCGCTTAGCCTCACTGCTCTCCTTACAAGCTGTCAGAGCTACCATGGAGCCCACACTGTCACTAACTGCACTCACGGAAAAAAACGAAAACACGATTTCAGAGAGAAGCAGAAAGAAAGGTCTACAATGGACCATGCTACGCTATGATTGGCCAGTCTGCCTTCGAGGGGCGGGACTTAGCGAAGGTGTCAATTGAACTTGTTTAGAGCCTGTAGAGGGATGAACGTAATGACATTCTCTTATAAATAAATAAATAAATAAATAAATAAATAAATACACAGCAGCTGTGTTGCTGAAAGCTTTTACAGTTGCTGTTCTGTCCAAAACACATCATCTGTATATCTTCGACAGATCTCATGGCTTCATTTACACTTTTCTGGTGTTTAAAGATTAAAACAATGGACAATGAGTGTTCAGCCCCGAGCCTCTGGCTACTGGGTCATTAGCCAGCTTAGCAAGTATTTACTCTCCGTTTAAATTCAGAGAGAGAACCACTTTTTTGCCGACATGCTTTTGGGTAATTTACACATGGATACTGCACGTACTCTTGTTTGTACGATCACAGAGAAAGAGAACCGAGCCATTTAATGTAAATACAGGTCGCTGTCGTAAAAGTTGATGAGTAACATGGAAATGTCATGCTCTGACTGATGCTATTTTGTCTCCACAGCCACCAGCACCAGACGACTTATCCATTGTGTGTTTCACCAGTGGAACCACAGGTAATAATTGTCTAAAATCGTGTGAATAACATGCATTATTTGTGCCATTCAGAAACATGTGCAAAGCAGTATCAATCAGTATCTCTTTAATCCTGTTACTGTTACTATTAAGTTTTGCATAACTTACAGCCTGTTAACAGCTGTCAGTTATGCATGTTCATCTTTTAATGAGAAATAAGAAAATACAGCCTAAACAAAGGAAAGCAACATCAGATTTGGTCTCCATTAAGTATCAGAAAATGCACAAAAAGAGCAAAACATTTCACAAACTGCACCATGCCAAGTCAAGGAACACAGTCTGTCCCAATGTCATTTGGCAAATACCACACCTTTAACAAGGCTTCCCTCGCTGACGTCAACCCAAGCTATTATTACAGCTTGATACCTGCTGCACCTTCATGTATACAAAGGGCCAAGTTCACTGACCTGCTGCTAGTCAAACAGTAACATGCTCTCTGACTCCTGATCCAATATACTCTTTGTTCTCTCTGTTGGTTATGTATTTATAAGATTGAAGAGATTATTTGAACACATATAAAGCTGCAGAGGTCAGACTTTCTGACAATATGATTGCACATGATTTATGTGCATTATTTATGTAACTCCCTGGGTTCTTTTGTGTTTCTATGTGTATCGCCATATCATATTGTAATGTCTGTAACTATGGGGAGTTGTGTAATGTACTGATGACTTGTGAATGCAGCATCAGGAGTGTACATTTGAAATGTACGGTGTTAAAACGTGGCTTGATTAATTTTACATGCTACGATGCTGTTTGTTCCATTCTACCTCTTATTAGCCAATGAGGAAGTGCCATAAACCTGCATTCTCTCTAGTGTCCATCAGGGGGCGACTCCTCTGGTTGTACTGAAGTCTATGAGAAAATGACTCTACTTCTCTCTTGATTTATTACCTCAGTAAACATTGTAAACATGAGTTTATGGTCTCAATCTCTAGTCGTGTTAATACAGCAGGATGTTCATTTAGTAAATTACAGCAGGCTAACGTCCGTATAAACTAAACCGGCTTTCGTCAAGCCGTGCTCTCACTGAGGTGAGGTTCTGCAGTACCGACTAAAACAAGCAGTAAAAGATCAACGTTATGAAGCGTAAAGAATCAGAGTAACTTCGTGCTTCATGCACACACTCGTCACAGCGTAGGACAGCACATTGCTATTGACTGACAACTTTGTTTGGCTCATTTTCTTTGTAACCGGTGTAGCATGAAAGCATGGTGGGTACATCTGGCTAGTTAACTAGCTTGCTACTTCCACCATGCTTTAATGCTACGCTGGTTACAGAAAAGAAGACCAGAAGCAGCACTGGGTCTAACAATCCCTCTCCCTCAATACCCTTTTTTTCTTGGCATAGATATGATCATCATTCAGTAACTGAATACTATGAGCATACAGCAATAAATATCTAAATACATTACTACATCAAAGTCTTCCTTAGGTTGAGGTCTCTTGTAAAACATTACTAAAAGGAAACCACAAGACAAAAGTATACAACATTTAAAAAATCACATTAATAATGCACTTTTGATTTTTGTAGCTGGAAGTGGAACAAACACTCCACTCAGAGGGGAGCATGAAGGAGAAGCATTTTCTGTAAATGAATGCTGTTTCTCCACAGCAGCACAGTGACCCAATGCCCTCTTTTCATTACATAAATGCCATCAACGGCGCATGTCATGAAAAGCAAAGAGGGCGGTGCATTGGTGTGAGTGAGGAAGCCTCGCTGTGTTTTTTTTAATTTTTTTGGGGAGGTCTTATCGCACAGCAAACAGACAGGGAGACAAAAAGCAGGTCGTGTGAGGACACACTGGTGTCAGTTTACAGGAGACCGCAGCTGTAGCTGCACTGAAAACGCTCCCGCCTGCTGGCTGTCGGAGAGACCTGCAGCCGCTCCAACACGGGTTAACGTTTCAACACATCCCCTCATTTCTAGAGAATTCCCTCTGGTTGTTGCAACATCATCCTCGTTTATAGCCGTGGGAGTCAGATGATACGTCTGGAAAGAGGAACGCTTTATGACAGTCATTGCTTCATGTGCACCACTGTATGTGTAGAAATGACATGACAGTTACTGGGGACCCAAAATAAGTTAATTTTAGTTTGCGGTGGGAATTACCAAACACACAAGAAAGACATGTGATTCAGAGATACCCTTTTTCACACTGAAAAGGCTGTTTTATGTAACATTTTCCACTCGAAATGATGTTGGCGCGTGTCGGCTAATTTCAGTAAAATATTTATTTGAACATGTATTTATAGATTTCAAAGGCAAATGAACAAGAGAGACAATAAATATTACAAAAATTTAGTTAAATTAGTAATTTGTGTGTGTGTGTGTGTGTGTGTGTGTACACACATGCTATCCGTTAGTGCAGGTTTTAAAGTGTGCAAATAAGAAAGGAATTGAAGAGGGAGGAACAATTATTGGAGATCACGTCTCACTTGAAAAATATATTGGATTAAATGACATTTGTTTCCCCCTAACTCATGCTCTACCAGTCAGCCGCCTGCAGTTTCTGTCTCTGCTTTAAGAATCACACCTGTTTATTCTCTGTTTAACTGCACAAAACACACAATAACAGCTCCTTTGTTGAACGTGAAATGAGTGTACACTTCTAGGGAAATATCATACATATCTGATTCCTTTGTTGGTTGTGTGATCCTCTGGCAGGTGAAGGGAATTTCATTAGTGTGTGTGTGTGTGTGTGTGTGTGTGTGTGTGTGTGTGTGTG